GGATTTTTAGTTAATACATGGTAATTATTTTCTTGGTGCTGATACAACAATAAGGATAGACTTCAAAGTTAATTTTTTCCGACAGCTTTTCAGAACTAGCAAATACTATCTAACTAAACAAATGACACAATAGGTGCTGAAGCATGACAGCTGACTAGTAATCTGACTAAGTATAAACCAATAAATTACTTAATAACCTTAAGGAAATTTAAGTTATGATGGGTTTTGATTGCATGAACCATTACATTATCTAAAGAGAACTCAGAAGAGAGCAATCTCTGCATAATATCACATTGTGAAAAAAAAAAAAGTTCCTGTTCCATTATATTTGAATTACACTAGAACCTCAGTTACGAACACCAGAATTACAAACTGATCAGCCAACCACATACCTCATTTGGAACCCGAAGTACACAATCAGGCAGCAGCAGAGACCAGGGGGGTGGGGAAATATTAATCCAGTACAGAACTGTGTTAAATGTAAACTACTAAAAAAATAAAATAAAGGGAAAGCAGCACTTTTCTTCTGCATAGTAAAGCTTCAAAGTTGTATTAAGTCAATGTTCAGTTGTAAACTTTTGAAAGTACAACCATAACGTTTTGTTCAGAATTACAAACATTTCAGAGTTACGAACAACCTCCATTCCAAAAATGTTGTTAACTCTGAGGTTCTACTGTAGGAGATAATTAACACTCAGGTCCTCAGTCTGTCTCACAGTACAGATCTTGAACCCTCAATAGAACTTTACTTACTTCAGATTTCTTTGCTGAAACAATTACTAATTTATGTTTAATTCTAAAAAAACATTGTAAGAGAAAATTAAGAAAAGGTCTGAGTGGATCACAATCTTTCCTCACTTCTCTAATCCTTAGTTTTCCTGTTGCCATGAGAAATCAAAATCCTGGTATTCCTTTCTTGGGGAAAATAAGTGTTCCTGTTCCCAAGTACAAATGGAACCTTTATTAAAGGTCTAATTTAATAAATGCCAACAGTTGCATTTTAGGTCTATGTTTTGGTCTCATCCATGACACTTGTAAGGCATTATGCATTTTCAGTGTAAATGTATAAAGAAATTTTTTATTCTAGATTAAGAAATGCACTTAGATTTCCCAGCCCAAGAAATCAAAAAAAAAAAAAAAACACACAAAAAACCACGCCACCTTATCAAGAGTACACAGTTAATGTACAAAGTTATCAACAGAATAATTTGATTAAAGCCCCACATGCCTGCCCACTGGCACAACATGCTGCCATGGATAGCTACCACATGATTTCACATTTGTCTGTAGTCCATGGGATTAAGATTTGCCTCCTAGACAGAACTGTTTCTTCTCGTTTTGTCCAAACAAGAGTCTGAGCCAGAACACATGTAAGAGAAAGAATGTAACCGACCTTCTATATATGTGAGTATGAGACACACAAAACTGCAGTAAGTCACACACCTAGCGTAGCAGCTTAGGAGCCAAAGTCTATAGATGGTACAGTTGTGTGTTAAATTCTTAAAATCGCTTTCCAAAGTTCCACACTGGTTTAATATTTTTTGGAAGAACTGAAGTTAAGGGGAATATTTTATCCCAATGGATAATCACATTTCATTAGTACTGAAATATTAAATTTCTTGTAGGCTTTCAGATATGAAAATTCAAAGTTTCCAGCTCTTTAGCCCAAAATGGCGCATGTCAGCATATGGAAGAGAAACTATTCTATAATTTATTTACACAGATCTAGACCAGACAGTGCCTTTCAATTCTGGAGAATTATGTATTCTATGCATCATTTGGAATAGAACCTCTCTCCTTTTTCCTCTTGTTTGACCCCCTTTTGTTTCATCTTATTTTCTGTATAATTTCATACACACATTTGTGCAGATCAAGTAATCACACATTGTTCACACAGCCTCCAGCATAATTCAAATATCTGAGGATTTTAAAAGCATGTAAAGCTAGTCTAAACTACAAATTTAGTACAGCTTAACATCGCTCAGGGCTATGAAAAACTTCACCCTGTGAGACAAAGTTAGGCCGACCTAAGCCAGTGCCAAGTCTATGGAAGAATTATTCCATCAACCCAGCTACTGCCTCTTGGATACATTTACTACAGCAATAGAAAAACTCCTTCCATCACTGTAATAAGCCTCTACATTACATTAGTGCAGCTGCAGTGTTTCTAGCACACATATGCTTCACTCTGCTCCCATTGATTTCAATGATAAAACTCCAGTTGACAGGTTGGCAGTTATTAATACTTTAGAAACCACTGAATTTCTTACTTCCCAGAGTCTTAATTCTCAACCCTACCGTTGCTGGAAACAGGGTTTTTGCTACCATTACCTATAGTAGGTGTTACAGGAAGCACTGCTGACAATTCAGTAAATTACTGAGTATTTAACAGACCACAGCAATAGTGAGTAGTATGTTGTTGGAGATGCTAGGCCAAACTCAGCCCTGGTATAAACAAGATCAATTCAATAAACGTTTATGCTAGAATTTAATATGCATTTTAGATTAAATGTAAAGCCAAAGTCCTGATCACCAGCAATCACAGAAGAGCCATAGAGCCATTCATAGGAGCATTTACCCAAGCAGCTAGGGCAAACTACAACTCATTGATTTTTAAGATTAATATTACAATGTTCACTAGAAGTGTTTGATTATTTCCAAGCACAGTCCTACAACCAAAAGACAGGTGGGCAAAACCCTCCACGGAGCCCTCCCTGCAGTCAACTGGGATTTATCCATGCAAATCCATTCGCAGAATCACAGCTTTGTTTGCTACTATTGATATTTGGTTAACACTGTTGGTGTTACAGATTGTTATTTTTCATTTATATGGTGGTCCATAGTACAAAGCTCAGAAATACCCCTTTAATTAGGCCAATTAGAAAAATTCATATGCAGAAAAAGTGACTTTACAGAACATAGCAGCGAGAAATCATGAACAATTCGCTTTTTATAATAGCAGTAGTTTTAAGTAACAAAAAATGCATGGTCGTTTTTACATTGCAGTTTAACCTACTGATTAGTTTATAAATTTATAAGATGCACAATCAGGCCCCAACTCAACTAGCCCCCTGAAATCAATGGACTCACATGAGCAGAAACTGGCTCCTGTAAATAAGTGCACACAGTCAACCTGTGGAACTCCTTGATGTTGTGAAGGCCAAGACTATAACAGGGTTAAAAAAAGAACTAGATAAATTCTTGGAGAACAGGTCCATCTATGGCTATTAGCCAGGATGGGCAGGGATGGTGTCCCTAGCCTCTGTTTGCCAGAAACTGAGAATGAGTGACAGAGAATGGATCACTTGATGATTACCTATTCATTCATAAGAACATAAAAATGGCCATACCGGGTCAGACCAAAGGTGCATCCAGCCCAGTATCCTGTCTGCTGACAGTGGCCAATGTCAGGTGCCCAAGAGGGAGTGAACCTAACAGGTAATGATCTAGTGATCTCTCTCCTGCCATCCATCTCCATCCTCTGACAAACAGAGGCTAAGGACCCATCCTGGCTAATAGCCATTAACGGACTTAACCTCCATGCATTTATCTAGTTCTCCTTTAAACCCTGTTATAGTCCTAGCCTTCACAACCTCCTCAGGCAAGAAGTTCCACAGGTTGACTGTGCCCTGTGTGAAGAGCAACTTTCTTTTATTTGTTTTAAACCTGCTGCCCATTAATTTCATTTGGTGGCCCCTAGTTCTTATACTATGGGAACAAGTAAATAACTTTTCCTTATTCACTTTCTCCACATCGCTCATGTCATATCCCCCCTTAGTCTCCTCTTTTCCAAGCTGAAGAGTCCTAGCCTCTTTAATCTCTTCTCATATGGAACCCATTCCAAACTCCTAATCATTTTAGTTGCCCTTCTCTGAACCTTTTCTAATGGTAGTATGTCTTCTCTGGGATGACGGGACCACATCTGTACACAGTATTCAAGATGTGGGCGTACCGTGGATATAAGGGCAATAAGATATTCTCAGTCTTATTCTCTCTCTCCCCCCCGCCCCCTCAAGGATTCCTTACATCCTGTTCGCTTTTTTGACAGCCACTGCACACGGTGTGGACGTCTTCAGAGAACTATCCACGATGACTCCAAGATCTCTTTCCTGATTAGTTGTAGCTAAATTAGCCCCCCATCATATTATATGTATAGTTGGGCTTATTTTTTCCAATGTGCATTACTTTACATTTATCCACATGAAATTTCATTTACCATTTTGTTGCCCAATCACTTAGTTTTGTGAGATCTTTTTGAAGTTCTTCACAGTCTGCTTTGGTCTTAACTATCTGAGCAGTTTACGTCTGCAAACTTTGCCACCTCACTGATTACCCCTTTCTCCAGATCATTTATGATTAAGTTGAATAGGACTGATCCCAAGACTGACCCTTGGGAAACACCACTAGTTACCCCTCTCCATTCTGAGGAATTTACCATTCCCTGTGGGGCACCTGGTTTTGGCCACTATGGAAGGCCCGGATAGTGGGCTAGATGGACCTTTGGTCTGACCCAGTATGGCCATTCTTATGACGGCACTACATGGGTGGGAGATCTCCCGCTGCCACAGCCACCATCTCTATGGAGGCAGGATGAGAGAGAGCTCTCCCATTTGGCTTAGAGCATCTTTACCAGAAGCTTTACAGCGGTCTCAGTGAAGCCCCAGTCAGTTGATGTACCTTGGTATTATCATAATAAAAATAGCCAGATAGATTTATAAACAATGTTTGGAACCCAATTAGCACAATGCCGAGAAAATGAAACAGACTGAGAGCTACGGTGAAACTGACAACTGATTTTCAGTGTCCAAACTGAAATGTAACAGTCTGAACAGCAAAAGGCCAAGTTCATCCTAACAGAGACAGATAAGTTGTTTGACTGTCCGTCCTACTGAAAGGCCTCCTTAAAAGCCAGCCGCCTGCTTCTATCACAGATTTCAGAGGCTGCTGGTGGCTGGGAGGGCGACGGGGGTGGTCTTGGCGGAAACCCTCGAGATACCTACACAAGCCAGAGACGTCCAGCATGTTAGAGATGCCCCGGTCACACATGTCCACCTCCGGCTGGCTCTTCTCCCTACTCTCCTCCACGATCTTCTTCAGGGACTTGGACATGGCCTGGGTCAAAACACAAACAGCCGCACGTGACGGGGCTGCGCCCACACACCCACCGTCGAGGGGGTCGGAGGGGGTGGGGGGCGCAGAGACCCGCCGAGATGCGACGCTCAGGGCGCCCCGGCCGCGGGAGGCTCCTGGCCGGACCTCAGCCAAGGCAGCGTGTCCGGGGCAAGCGGCTGACCGCCCGCCCGCCAAAGCTGCCAGCGCCCGGGGCAGCGGGGGGACCCTGCCCAGGGCGGCCCGGCGCGGCAAGGGAGCGGGACACCTGCGCCCTGAGGTACGCACGCCCCAGGGGCGCCCGGGCCGGAAGGCGGAGCCGCTCCGGGACCCCCGAGACCACTCACCGGTGGGTGCTGCGGGCGGGGCCGTGCAGGACAACGCGGGGCGCGCAGGGACACTCACGGCCCGGGCCACGCCCTGCTAAGATGCCGCCCACTCCCCCAAGCGCACGCTCCGTGCGCGCAGGCGCACTAGCCCCCGGGCGGTGGAACGCTCCCAGCCCCATATAAGGCGAATCGCTCCGGGGACTGGCTCCACCCCCACTTGGAATGTGCCGCTCCCGGCTGGCCAATCAGGGCCCCGCATCCCGCCAGCCAGCCAATGGCCGGGCCGGGGGTGCGAGCGGAATGCGGTGTACTGTGTAGCCGCGGGAAGGGAGTTTCCCAGCTTCTTCGGCGCGAGCTCCTCGCTGGGAGGGGATGTAGCGGAGGCGGCTGCTGCAAGGCTGCGCCCTGCCCATTTGCCCAGTGCCCGCCCCCAGAGCAGCAATGGGGCGTCGGGGGGCAAAGTAGGCTCTGAGGCCTGCTGCCTAGCTGGAGCCCCGTGGCAAGCTGCGTCTCCTGTGTCGGTTCCTTAGAGACTAACCAATTTATTTGAGCATGAGCTTTCGTGAGCTACAGCTCACTTCATCGGATGCATACCGTGGAAACTGCAGCAGACTTTATATATACACAGAGAATATGAAACAATACCTCCTCCCACCCCACTGTCCTGCTGGTAATAGCTTATCTAAAGTGATCATCAGGTGGGCCATTTCCAGCACAAATCCAGGTTTTCTCACCCTCCACCCCCCCACACACAAATTCACTCTCCTGCTGGTGCTAGCCCATCCAAAGTGACAACTCTTTACATAATCAAGTCGGGCTATTTCCTGCCCAAATGTAAAGAGTTGTCACTTTGGATGGGCTAGCACCAGCAGGAGAGTGAATTTGTGTGGGGGGGTGGAGGGTGAGAAAACCTGGATTTGTGCTGGCAATGGCCCACCTGATGATCACTTTAGATAAGCTATTACCAGCAGGACAGTGGGGTGGGAGGAGGTATTGTTTCATATTCTCTGTGTATATATAAAGTCTGCTGCAGTTTCCACGGTATGCATCCGATGAAGTGAGCTGTAGCTCACGAAAGCTCATGCTCAAATAAATTGGTTAGTCTCTAAGGTGCCACAAGTACTCCTTTTCTTTTTGCGAATACAGACTAACACGGCTGTTACTCTGAATCCTGTGTCGGTTGATGCTTGTCGCGCAGCCATCGGTTTGAGTAAACTTCTCAACACCTGTTCCAGAGCCACGTGGCAAGAAACTGTCCCGTGAGTTCGGGAGGATTTGGTTTATTTACGTCTGGATTTAAAATAAGAGAAGGATGCAAGGAGTGAGGGAAGATGTGTTTAGGGACCGGCCAGCGCCAAATTTCCCCACAAAGACTGCCTAGCTTTTGATCAAACAGATTGAAGAGCCATTCTGAAATGTCCATTTACGTTCGGGGAGGGAATAATTTTAAAGGATTTGCTCTTCATGTAAATAATTTTTATCTGTTTTTTGCCACATACACATGCAACATAATGCAACAGCAATTTTGATCTTATTTATTAGCTATTCTTCGGATGTATTTAGACTTGAAATTAGAAGGTTTCTAACCATCAGAGGAGTTTCAGAGTAACAGCCGTGTTAGTCTGTATTTGCAAAAAGAAAAGGAGTACTTGTAGCACCTTAGAGACTAACCAATTTATTTGAGCATAAGCTTTTGTGAGATACAGCTCACTTCATCGGATGCAAACTTATGGTCAAATAAATTGGTTAGTCTCTAAGGTATATCAGAGGAGTGAAGTTCTGGAATAGCCTTCCAAGGGAACCAGTGGGGGCAAAAGACATATCTGACTTCAAGATTAAACTCGATAAGTTTATGGAGGAGATGGGATAACATGATTTTGGCAATTAGTTGATCTTTAACTATTCATGGTAAATAGGCCCAATGGCCTGTGATGGGATGTTAGATGGGGTGGGATCTGAGTTACCCAGGAAAGAATTTTCTGTAGTATCTGGCTGGTGAATCTTGCCCATATACTCAGGGTTCAGCTGATCGCCATATTTGGGGTCAGGAAGGAATTTTCCTCCAGGGCAGATTGGAAGAGGCCATAGAGGTTTTTCGCCTTCCTCTGTAGCATGGGGCACAGGTCACTTGCTGGAGGATTCTCTGCACCTTGAAGTCTTTAAACCATGATTTGAGGACTTCAATAGCTCAGACATAGGTGAGAGGTTTTTCGTAGGAGTGCGTGGGTGAGATTCTGTGGCCTGCGTTGTGCAGGAGGTCAGACTAGATGATCATAATGGTCCCTTCTGACCTTAGTATCTATGCATCTAGTTGGAAGATGGAATAAAACTGAAGTACATAGTATGAAATTAGCAATTTCTTTTGGACTGAGGAGCTGAAGCCTGTGTTAATCTGTCATATCAACATGCTAAAGCCTCAATCCTGTACTGAGAATAACACATGTGCAGAGGTCCACTCCTGTGGTTCTCTGTACAAGAGTAGGGCCTCAGATTTTGTGGGCCCTTTCTATACTCATATGGTCCTTACTATAGTAACTGAGGCCCAGATACACAAAGCTATTTAAGCTAACTTCCATTGATTTCAATGAACCTTTGGGGATCTGGGCCTAAGCGCCTTAAGTTCTTTAATCCATTTATCCTCATAACATCCCAGTAAGAGTAAAAATACTGTGTAATCCCCATTTCACAGATGGGGAACCATTGACACTAAGCGACTTGCTTACGGTCACACAGGCAGTTGAACCTGGGTGTGCGCAGGGCCAAAAGTGGTTGCTGTGTTTGGTCACTGAGGCACTCCTCTGGGCAGCTCCTGCCTGACTGGAGCACAGGGAGCCTGGGACTTCACAGGCAGCCAGTGAGTTCCCAGCCCACTTTCCCAGCGGTCTCCTGCTGAAGAGGCCTGGGAGGCAGGGACAGAGCGAGAGGTTTGTATGAGTTGCCAATGGCAAGAGTTGGTGGCCACACTGTGAGGCCATCAAAAAATGTGTTGTGAGAACCTATCTAGACACTGTTACCAAACAAATTATTATTATTGCAGTAAAGTTATTATGCTGATCTCTGGTTTATAAGAGCAAGCTTCCAGAATTTTGTGTATATGTTACTGTTGAGTATCAAAACACACTTCAAACAAGTCAATGTAATAGTTTATAATTGCATTTATCATATTACTATGTCCTTATGAATCACACTTTTCTATTACCTCTCATTTAGTGTCAATCGGATACAGTCATAGTAACATAGAAAGCCCATTCAGCAGTACTATCAATGACTTTTCATTCTTCAAATCTTAGCCCTTAGAAACGTGTATCATATAGCTGTCCCTGATATCAGACCTTTGAAGATAATATTAATAATACCCAGAGGTGCATATTTAAAGGAGGCTAACAAGTACTGTAATGTAAGGTGAAATTGTGACAAAATGGGAAATTTTTGAAAACTTTTTATGAAGCCTGTGTGTGCCTCAGTTTCCCCCGTGTGTTGCAATGTTACCTAGGGAGTGGAAAAGGGCTGTTTGCTCTCTAGGCAGGCAAAGAGACATAGATATGAGTGTTCCTAGCTGTCTGGATCTTGGTCCCCATATCAATGGAGCCTCTGAGAAGACAGTGGTAAATCCAATTGCCTGGCTGATACCTACCCACCAAGGACCCAGAGGGGTATGGATTTTCCTGCCTTTCCTTAGAAAAGCTGAGCAACAATCCCACAGCTCAAGATCAAAGGACGGGAGGTATGAGGATAAGCCTTGTCTTTTGGAGGCAGTCAGGGCTCTGACCTGCGGTTCTGACCAAGGCGGTCAGATGATCAGAGAGACAGAGCTTGAACAATGGAGTTCACTACAGCTTGGCTGGGCACTGTGCTACCCAGAATGGACTGTGCTTTAACCTTCATTCCTCTATGCCAGTGACTCTAACCTTTCCAGACTACTGTACCCCTTTCAGGAGGCTGATTTGTCTTGCATACTCCCAAGTTTCACCTCACTTAAAAACTACTTGCTTACAAAATCAGACATAAAAATACAAAAGTGTCACAGTGTATTATTACTGAAAAATTGCTTACTTTCTCATTTTTACCATATAATTATAAAATAAACCAATTGGAATGTAACTATTGTACTTACATTTCAGTGTATAATATATAGAGCAGTATAAACAAGTCATTGTATGCAATTATAGTTTGTACTGACTTCCCTCGTGCTTTTTATGTAACTTCTTGTAAAACTAGGCAAATATCTAGATGAGTTGACATACTCGCTGGAAAATCTCTGCGTGCCCCCAGGGATACATGTACCCCTGGTTGAGAACCATGGCTAACCCAAGGACTTCCTAAGATGTGTTCCAGATGACTAATAAACCCTGCTGTTTTACAACGCTGTGTGAATGTCACTGCGAGTCCTGGTGAAGTGCACTAGTCCCTGAAGAGTGTACAAATGTTCAGTAGGGGTCTGTCTCAGTTGGACTCGCTGAACGGCGCTCACAGTGTGAAACAGAAGTGGTGCAGGCACAGAGGTCTAGTCTAAGGAGGCAGAGACGCCACATGACGTACCCTGGAGAAAGTCAGGCACCAGGAAGGGCTTCCTCCTAGAGACTCTTCTAAAGCTAGGGCCATAGCACCAATCCTGTGTATCAGTGACAGAAATATGTGCACATTATTTGTGCTTTGCCAGCTGCAATCATCAGTGATTTCTGGGGAGGTTTGCCATAGTGCAGACACCATAATATAGAATAATGTATTCCATGCCAGCTATCATGGTCTTTATAAAATAGAGAACAGTGTATACAGATGTGACAACAAGCTATTCCTGGCAGCAATGTGAAAGCAGATAATAAATCTTATTAAGCACATTTTTTTACGTTTTCAAATTATATAATACTATATCAATAACCACTGCGTAATTTATTGGAAAACAATCTTTTTTCAATTATCAGGTTTGCTTTTCTTTGTGTTGTGCTCCACAGTAATTTTCAGTAAGCACTTTACATTGCTCTGTACCTTCAGAGACAGAAACATTGCTCAGTAACAGCTTTTTTCTTTAAAGTCCTCTTCGTTAATCTGCAGTGGTATTTTTGTTGTGGTTTCTAATGTTAGAGGAGAGTGCTCCTGTTGTTTTTCTACCAGGACTGATCATTTATTCTGATTGATTATTTTTGTCAGAAACAGTTGCTTTAGATCAAATGA